AAAAAAAAAAAAAAAAAAAAATTAATGAAAATCTGGTACTCAAATAGTGAAGTATATGAATTTTCCTTGCTATGATCAGAAGAAAGGCTTGAATAGATAAATGACCTTAGCGTTTCCTTTGGTAATTAAAAAAAAAACACTTTGTTCAAATGACTTGAGCTGATTGTCCTGTCTAAATAAAGAGAAGAATACCTGGAGACTTATGCAAGCATGTACTACTTCCAAAGCCTAAAACTATCCTAGGAGAACCTGATATGAATAAGGACACAGTGGTTGTGCTTTTTTTAAAACATGAACTGAATACTTTGTGCTTATGCAAACCGAGAGCTATCAGTTTTCCTGTCCCTTGCCTGGCTAAAACATCAGATAATTAAATCTGAGGCAACTGAAAAACTGCCTGATGGAATATGTTTTGTTGCAGGCTTATCAAAAGATTTGCTTAGATTCTTGATAATTTCTCTCACTATTCCCCAGAAGCTAATTTTTGTAGAGATTTCTATTATTGGTGAAAACTCTGGAAATTAAGTTGAATGGACTACAGCAATTCAACCTGCAAAGAATTATTTTCAACATTTTAAAAAACAAAAATGAGGAAAGTCAAGAACATTTGTTAGAATCCTACAGATACTAAGACGAACCATTTGAAATGGCTGATAGTCAACTATTTTTCACCTACAAAAATGGCATTCTCATAGGTTTGACCTAATATTTTTTTAAAGAAGACTTTAAGCCCTCTCTTTCTCTTCCCTCCAAAATTCCCATTACACTCATTAACACACAATGTAGATTTTTCTTGGTTACAATCTAGCCAAATGATCATTTTTCATCTAGCTTTCCATTATTTTTCAAATTTCCTACGTGAGCATTTTTAAATCTAAAATAACGTTTTCTGACTATTTTTCTTAGTAAAGTCTTTCAATCCTATTCCAAATATCTGCTAAGAAAAGAGAACCATCAAATAAGTATTAGTGAACCTCAACCGTGTTCCTAGCTCTGTACACAGAACTAAGAGAGAAAGGCAAAAATGGAGGATAAGAAATAAAGCATAGGAGGTCCCCAAACCAGAGATCAAAGATACAGCTTTAGCTGTTCCATTTGCAGCAACCATAGATAACTCTTTTAATCTTCCCACAGCCACTTGATACCCATTCAGTGTCCAGCTGCATGGGGTGGAAAGCTCTGGCCCTTTGAACATTTGTGCACAACTCCCTCATTGTTATGGTGGGCTTAAGTTTGCCCTGCCTTCGAAAATAATCCCTTGGATTCTGACCTAGATTGCTTTGAAAGCTTTATTTAGCTTTTCATCAGTAGGAAACCCTTAAGCAAACATTTTATTCAGTCAATCAAACCACAGACTGGACTTTGAGGAGAACTCCAATTCTAATTAGTCCATTCAAAAAGCTTGCTGTGTGACATTCAGCAAGTGTGCCTTACCTGCCTGGTGATTCAGTTTTATGACCTACAACAAAATTAAGGATTTCGGTGATAAATGATAGAAAAAAAAAAATTCGCTTCTTGGCCTTTTGGCTAAGATCAAGTGTAATGACAGAAAAAA